TTGTTTTTCTATACACTTAATGCTGTTTTTTAAAAAATGTGATTTATTTGTCTAATGTTTGGAAGTATTTTTTCCTAATGTTCACACACATCACAAGAAATTGTTGGAGAGTCTGTATATCTCCTTAGATCTCCTTCAGTGTAAACTAGTTGCTCTCTGGGTCTGGTTGCATAGTTTGTTGTATCAAGATTTTGCTTTGCCAATTTGTTATGTTGAATGTCCTGTTTCCTGAACTCTGAGTTCCTTTTTTTTCCTTTTTGGTTTACTTCCTACTTTGATGAAACATGTTCTATAACACCTTCCTCAGAAGGGGTGCATCTTTTTTCACTTCTTGCATATTTAAAATTTTATTTATGTAAATGGTAGTAGTTTGGCTGAAGTACATAGAAATCATTTTTCCCATGTAATTTTGAAAGTATTGTTTTTGATAAGTCTGTTGCCATTCTTGCTCCAGTTTCATTGCATTTTGGTTATTTTGTTCTTTCTGGAAACTTTAATGATTATCTTTAGTGTTTTGAAATTTCATAATATGTTCACCGGTCATCCGTTTTCCATTCATTGTGGTAGGCATTTGATAAACCTTTGTAATTTGGATGTATATGTTTGGGAAAGTTTTCTTGTATTATTTATTTGGTAAATTTTCACTTTTCTTTGTTCATTCTCTTTCTCTTTTTCTCTCTCTAAACTCCTACTGATGTGACACTGATTTCCTACTTTAACTCCTCTAATTGTATGGTATTTTCTTTCTTGCCTTCCATCTTTCTTTTTTATACAGTCTTTTTAAAAACATTTACTGTACTTAACACATTAGTTGTCATGTATTTATTTTTGAAGAGCTCTTTAATATTTTTCTTCAGTTCTCTTCATAATTTTTGTTCTTGTTTAATGGATGTAATAACATCTGATACTTCTTTGGGGATACTAAATATAAATTATATATTTTTTCTTTTGTTCCCAGCAGGGTCTCTGATGTCTCGTATCTCCTCTCTTTATTCCTTTTCTATTTGTTTTGGTATTTCTGACATTAAAGGGTGTCTTCAATTGTGTGGTGATCCTTGTCTGCCCATACACACTAAAGAGTAAAGCACTACAAAGTTCTTTGAAAACTTGTTTATGAATGGGGACAGGGCTGCCTCATATGGTCATACAGGTTGTGCATTGAAGAACTCCAGGGGGTAATATTTACATACATCCCTTAGTACTTTCAAAAAGTATTGGATTTGCCATATTAGAAATTAAAAATAGGAGTTGTAAAATGTAACTTAAAAACAAAACTAATAAACCTACTATATATTCACATATAGTAACATATAAATAACACTTTTCTGAAAAATAACTATTTTCTGAAACATGAGATATTTAGTTAGAAGACTTGGTATTGTTTTATACTTTTGCATAACTATTTAATGTCTGGTTAAATAGAATAAAGCTAGATTTTCATGTTTCTGCATTCAGTCTGTTATGACTTGTTATTGTGGATGAAATATATGAGGAATGTCCAGCCCTAGCCAGTACTTCAATAATCTTTTAAAATAATTGTGATTTTTTTTTGATACTCATCAAAAGTAGACAAGTAGTATTGCATTGAATATGTAAACTGGTTTGTGTAGTATTGACATTTTAACAATATTTGTTCTTCTATCCAGAAGCATGGAATATTTTTCCAAATTTTTGTGTCTTCTCCAATTTCTTTCATAAGCTTTCTGTAGCTTTCAGTGTATAGATTTATCTTTGTTAGATTTAGGTATTTATCCAAGGGATGCAGGTATGCTGTTTTGAAGGGGGCACATACACCCCAATGTTTATAGTAGCACTATCAACAATAGCCAAAATATGGAAAGAGCCCAAATGTCCATCGATGGATGAATGGATAAAGATGTGATACACACACACACACACACACACACACACATATATATACACACATATATATGTATATATATATACATATATATGTATATATATATTCATATACATACACACATACATACATACATACATACATACATACAGTGGAGTATTACTCAGCAATCAAAAAGAACGAAATTTTGCCATTTGCAACTACATGGATGGAACTAGAGGGTATTATGCTAAGCGAAATCAGTCAGAGAAAGACAAATATCATATGACTTCACTCATATGAGGACTTTAAGATACAAAACAGATGAACATAAGGGAAGGGAAGCAAAAATAGTACAAAAAAAGGAGGGGGACAAAATATAAGAGACTCTTAAATATGGAGAACAAACAGAGGATTGCTGGAGGGGGGATGGGCTAAATGGGTAAGGTGCAATAAGAAATCTCCTGAAATCATCGTTGCACTTAATGCTAACTAACTTGGATGTAAATTAAAAAATAAATAAATTTTGGGGTTCCTGGGTGGCTCAGTCACTTGAGCGTCCGACTTCAGCTCAGGTCATGATCTCACGGTTTGTAAGTTCGAGCCCCTCATCGGGCTCTGTGCTGACAGCTCAGAGCCTGGAGCCTGCTTCAGATTCTGTGTCTCACTCTCTCTCTGCCCCTCCCCTGCTCATGCTCTCTCTTTCTCTGTCTCAAAAATAAATAAAACATTTTTTTTTATTGAAAATTAATTAATTAATTTTAAAAAAGTAGACAAGTGGAAGTTTTCTTAAAGGTTTTTTGCAGTGCAGGATTTGATTCCATATCACTGAACTATTTTATGCTTTGTTGCATTAAAATCTATTGGTCTGTCTTACACTTTGATTGAATCATTCATAAATGATTTTATAGCATCATAGATTAGTCATTTGGAAATAATGGTTCACTGTGTTACATAGATCTTGCAAGTGTTGACATGTTTTATGTATAATTCCAAGTAAGCACATTCATTATTAGCCATTAATATCTAATCAATGGTGAATGCAAGTTTTCCTAAAATTTAATTTTTGTTTAATTTTATTATGGCAATAAACACTGTCACTTGTTTCTTTGATATGACAGGCTTACTTTGTCAATTTTAAGAAAATATCTCCTAAATAACCAAGTTTCAATAATCAGTTTGACAGTCATCCTTTAAAATAAAAATGATATTCTATGAAAAAAATATGTCTAAATTCAACTTGCAACTCAGTCTCAGACCCAAGTGTTTTCAGTATACAATAGCAGTGCTTTATGCATTCTTCTGTTTTATCACATAGAATACTCAAAAGACATGAACTCAGAGATTGATATTTAATAAAGTGAGTGTTGCTGCTGGTGTTTGCCAGTGAAGAATTATTTAGTGACTTCTAGTGTAGTTTCGGGTTGATGCCACTGCCTTGATTGATGTTGAGATGCCAGCATATTACTCACTACTGCTTTTGTACCAAGAGTTTTAACTTCACCTGCCTCCTGAAAGTGTCTTGGAGGCCCAAGGTATCTGTGAAACACACTTGGAGAACTGTTGACATGTATTATAATATGAAGGTTAGTTAATTCTTCTGGATTAGTGGTCTATACAATCTGCATAGTCTGTATGGGAATTGTTCAGACTTCCCATAGGAAAATCAGATGCTGATGAACTAATTCTTTGCTGAGGAAGATGCTTTCAAAGTCATTATAGGAAACCTTGTCTGTCTTGAATCTAATAATTTTCTCCAAAGAAGAATCTTCTAGATTCCAGATGTTGGTAGTAGAGTGAAGAGTGATCCCTCCAGCTGCTAGCATTTTGGGAGCTAGTCAGGGAGAACTGTAGGGACCTTTATTCAGTTTATGGAATTTGACTAAATTTTTCTGTTTTCTCCCAGTACCTCATGGCTGCCCTTTGTCATTCCTGGTGTTCACAAGTCTAGATTCTCTTTAGTTCATAAAGTTAACCTTTAGCCTCTGTGGTAGAGGAAAGAGTAGGTATCTGTTATATGAGTTGGGGAAAGAGCATTTAGATTTCTCAGCAGTCCTTGTGCTTCATTTTTATTTTTTATGTACTGGATATTATACCGAATTACTCCAAATACCAGATTGCTTAAGTTCCCTGGACAAATTGATTCTCTTCTCCTTACTCAGATATTTAGTTGTAACTTCCTCCATGCTGCAAAGTTAACTTGTACTCTTACAGTCACTTTCCATCTAAAAATTTGTTGAAATCTCATTGACAATTAGTATGGTTTGGTGTTTTTGTGGTCTTTATGAATGAAAATATTTCATATCTTTGCCTCAATTTAGCAGGGTTTTAGGAGAGTAAAAAACATAAATGTATGTGACTAATACACCCTTATCAATTTCAATAGTCAATCACTATAGTAGTTAAGAACTAGACCTAGATTTGAATCTTTACCATTTATTGTGGTTATTGCCTAGGGTTCTCTATTTAACCTACATAATCGTATTTCTTATTATAAAAATGGAATTGAGAATGTCTAACATGAAGATTAAATGAGATAATGAATGCAAAGCTCTTAACATACTACCTCATGCATCATATGTGCTCAATAATCAGTAATTGTTATGAACTGTTGGTCTGGTCTCTGGCTTAATGAAATTTTATTGCATTCTTTTCTCCCTGTAAAACATTTCAAGTAAGCAAAATATTTAATCTATCATCTCATATTATACGAAGGGTTAACGTGACTCCAAAATGAAATTATAATTTCAGAAATGTTTTATATAAATGTTTGTATTTAATGTATTTGTATAAAATTACTATGGATGCAACTTGTTTTCAAATTCAAGTTGTGTTTCTATTCAAGTGATTGTAACTAGAGTCCACATTTTAAACAGTCTAAGAAAAACAGGTATTGTTATAACTGGGTAATTGCTTCATGACTTTGATTTGGAAACTTGGTATACTGAAATTCTGATAGGTTTTTTTTTTAACAATTTTTTAAAGTCTGCTTTTGAGAATTATTCTAGTACATACTTTAGATTAAGAAATTGTTTTTCTATTTCTTTGGTATGTTAGGTTGAACATTTATGTTCCTTTAATCCAGAAAGTTTAGTATCATTAAAGTAGTTTAATTTAAGCCTAACTATGAATATAAAAGAAACATTCTTAATTGTTTCAGGAAATTACAAGAACTAATATGGCTGAAGGAGAAACAGAAACATCAAATTCTGAAAGGTAAATATAAGGAAAAACTGACTCTCTTGAAATTCAAGTATATAAAAAGCTTGATACTTGAACTGCATTATTTTAGTTAATTGATATTTCAGTTATTTTGTTTAGGTTTTTTTTAAGCTTATTTATTTATTTTGAGAAAGAGAGTGAGGGAGAGCTCACAAATGGGGGAGGGGCAGAGAGAGAGGGAGAGAGAGGATCCCAAGCAGGCTCCGCACTGCCAGTAGAGAGCCCTCTGTGGAGCTCAAACCCATGAAACCATGAGATTGTGACCTAAGCCGAAACCAAGAGCTGGCATTTCTATGACTCAGCCACCCAGGTACCCTGTTATTTTAGCTTTAATTAAAATAAAATTTTGAAATTTTAATACAACAAAAATATACTGTATATCCTTAGTTTTAAAATCATTTTTTAAGTTTTGACATCTTTTAAACATCTTTTAAACACCTTACAGTTGTTAAATTTTAAAAAGTACTTATTAGTAAATAAAATGTTAACAGATTTTAATTGCTCCTATCAAGTGAAAACAGTTATACGATACTACAAGTTACAAGACAGATGGGGACAATTTTTGCAAACAGATCATCTTAAAATCTTTTCTGTCTAAAGTATTTTCAAAAGCTATAAAACTTTTGGTGGGAACTCATAAAAGTTTCAAACTTCAGGAATTGGCTTTAAAAAATGTAATTCTCTGATCAACACTAAAGAGCCCAAGACATTTTAGAAGCTTTCTTAACAAAAGAGAATCTAACATTCAAATTAGAACTTAATTCCAGATAAAGATAATTTTATTTTATCTTTCAAGTTAAGTAATTTCCCCATGGCTGTGTTTATGCTGTGTATTTTATATACAGCTATACAGCGTAAGGTGTAGGGTGCTAGTTAACCAAATAAGAGTGATTCATCTATTGCCCCTGAGAAGAAAATTATAGAATAAGGCCTTATGAAGGTGTTTCTTAGACTTTGCTAGAAAAATTATTTAGCCCTTTCTTCACCTAGAATTTGGGGACAGGGGCAATGGTTAACAAAATTTCAACAAAGGAGTTAGAAAAAGCAGACTAGTCACCTCTCTATAATGTTTTCTATAAATTGTAGTTAGTCCAATAACATCTGAATAAAAATAAAAATTATATAAATTTAAATGAGGAAAATAAACTAATTGTTTGCAGATGGCGTAATTGACCTATAAGATCCAAGAAAATGAGCTAAGAATGAAATTAATGAGAGTATAAATTAAGGTAGTTATAAAAATCTGAATCTTTCAATATACCAATAATGTGATTTAAAATACAATATTCTTCACAAGAGGAGCAAAAAATGAGAACTGTGCAGGATCTAAATGAAGAAATGCAAACTTACTGTGATAGAAAATAACTAATTAATAACTACTGCATAATAGGCCATTTTCCAAATTAATTTATAGTTTTAATAATGAGTAGTTAGTTAAAAATCCTAATGGAATTTGGTTTGGAAACCAACAATGTTTAAAGGAAGATTCATATGTTCTATTTAATACCATAATTGTTTATTTAAATTATTGTTCTTTTGTTAGTATTAGGTTGTTTCTGTATTCACTATTTAGACATTGTTTTTATGAGCGTCTTTGTACAAATATCTTTTACATTTTTAAACTATTAAACTTAGGAAGAAAAGTAGTAGAATGTGGGTGATTTACTCTATTAAATAATAAAGGACAGTTGCTGGGATAAGCACTGGGTGTTATACACTTGTTAGGATGAATCAGTGGAATCTACTCCTGAAATCATCTAATATTTTATGATTCACTACATAGTTTGTGTTAACATGCCAGGGTAAATGTGAACACACACACTTATACACACATAAACATTTATATATACAAACAAACATATTTATGTATGCATGTTGTATATATTTACATATATTTTTTCAGGCATATGTTTATGTTTTTTTAAATTCAGCTATTAAATATTAGGGAAATATTTATGAATGCTTATTTAATTTTGCATAGGGAAAGACACTCTAATTAAGAGGATATAGAAATCATTTAAAAAGTAGTTTTTTTCTGGTGCTCCTGGGTGGCTCAGTCGGTTAAGCGTCCAACTTCTGCTCAGGTCATGATCTCATGGCTTGTGGGCTCAAGCCCAACTTGGGGCTCTGTGCTGACAGCTCAGAGCCTAGAGCTGCTTCAGATTCTGTGTCTCCCTCTCTCTCTACCCCTCCCCTACTCATGCTCTTTCTCTGTCTCTGTCTCTCTCTCTCTCTCAAAAATAAACATTAAAAAAATAGTTTTTTTCCAAATATGTTCACTTCTTCTTTAAGGTTACAAATTAATAAGAATGCTTAAATTTTAACCTAGATAGGCAAGAGTGTGAACAGTTGAGAGTGATGATTATCAGGACTAAAACCAGTTTTGATAGATTCCCCAGGTCTCCTTTTAAGATGTGACTCTGGAGTTTCTCAGTCTCATGCCTAAGAAACTGGCCACCTCCTAAAGTGTACATGGCAAGGACTGGGGATTTGGGTTATTTTTTGTTTGTTTGTTTTCTGTTTTGGCAAATGTGCTTTGATCTTTTTTTTTTTTTTTAAGAGCATGTCTTTATTTTGATAGTGTTCAAATACAATGTGTTATAAAGGAATAGATAATAAATGGCTTTATTTTTTCAGTAAACAAGATAAAGCTTCTTCAGAGGAAGAAAAAAATGAATGTGTTACAAATTCATTTGAAGGCTCATTAGCAACAAAAAATGAAGAAAGCATAACAGTGTCAAATAAGGAAAATGATACCTGTCTTGAAGATCAGAAAACTGGCTTAAAGAATATCTTCAGCCATGATTCAAATATTGATGCAGATAAAGTAGAAAAGGAAAAACAAATAGAGCATGTTTGTCAGAAAATGGAGTTGAAGATGTGCCAAAGTTCAGGAAACATAATTTCTTGTGATCAGAATGAAGATTCCAACTCCAGTGAAGCTAAGTTTTCTTCAAAGAATGTTAAGGATTTGCGGTTAACATCTGGTGATGTTAGCATTGATCAATTTTTGAGAAAAAGAGATGAACCTGAATCTATTAGTTCTGATGTTAGTGAGCAAGGCAGTATTCATTTAGAACCTTTGACTCCATCAGAGGTACTTGAGTATGAAGCCACAGAGATTCTTCAGAAAGGTAGTGGTGATCCTTCAGCCAAGACTGATGACGTAGTATCTGATCAAACTGGCAGTGTTCCTGGGGAAAATAGCCCTAGCACAACAGAGACAACAGTAGACCTGGCAGATGAAAAAGAAAGAAGTTGAAATTTATTAGTCATTCTAAGTTTAGTGTACCAATGGTAATAACATTTGGAACAGTGCTATCAGGTGAACTCAGTGGTGCTGTTCTGTAGAGTTCAGAAATAGAAAATTGTGAGGGAGGTCATTCATCTACACTTTACCTGTATGTTCAATCCAGGTTATTAAAGAAATCAATTCACCCATAATAGCATGATTTGTATTTCCAAAAAGCCTTTAAAACTATTATGGATTTTAATGAAAGCTAAGTTTGCAATGGAAAAGTCTCATTTAACAGTTTTTGAAGAGAAGTTGGTGGCCAGTATGAATTGATTTTTAGAATATTAATTATAATGATAAAGCTTTTGAAACTTCCATCAGTCCTAAGCTAAAAGTTCTTAGTACCTGTATATTCTTTTCAGGTTACTTAAAGGAAGAGATTTGGAAACCACATACCTTTTGGGAATAATTGATTTAAAGTAATGGCTGATAGGCATTGTTAACGAAGGCTTCATTTCGAGTATGATGCTGGTAAATGGGGCATGCTTAGAGTGCTAAGTTAATTGATCTAATGAGAATTTGGATGAACGTAAAGTTAATTTTGGATTTAATATAACATTCCAGACTGTCACAAGCATGTAAACAGAATATTTGAATCTGTGTACCTCCCTACAAGTGTGAGCCTGCAAGGCTGTAAGCTTACCTTAATTAAACTTTCAGTGAAAGTGACATTATTAATATGTAAATTTATATTTGTGCTTTTTGTCAGTGTGTAAGCTGTGCAGAAATCCCTTGATGTGCTAGTTGTATAAAATAGAAACCCATTGTTGAAACTCCTGTAGCTATTATGCTTTTAATATTGTTTTAATGATCTTTAGAAATAGACCCATAAAAATGGTCTGGACACCAAACCAAAGTATGGTATAATGTAGATATTGTAAAGCAGTAAATGGAAAACATGTCCTGGCTCATGCCATGTTTAAGTGACTTTTTCTTTAATTGTAAAATAGAAACTTCAAATGGGACCTAAAGCAGTGATGTAAAAAATTGGTTTGGGACATTTAGTCTAATTTATCCATATCCTATTTTATCCACAAAATGGCTGCTAAATAGATTTTTCAGTTGTTTTTTATCATCTAGAAAATAGTAGATATAGAAATAAATAATATGGATAAAGTAGTTTGCTTTAAAGTACTTAAAATTTTATTTAAAATGCTACATTTTTACTTCTTAAAATGTGCTTTGAATTCTTAAATTTTGTTTCATTGAATGTTAAATGTTATAAATGGCTATTAAAATTCTGCTGTATATAGTAGTTTTTGAGTAAATATTTGCAATAAAAATCTGTCCCTGAATAATTTTATTTTTCAGAAACCTGCTTGAGTCGGATTACCTTTGGCGCCTTTAGAAATTGTATACTTGTTCAAGGAAATTTCATGTTGAAGTTAGTGGTAGGATTTCATTCTGTATTCTTTAATTGATGCATGATTTATTTTAAATTAGGACTTAAAGTACAGGGGAAAATACTGTTAATATTTACAGAGAATATATCTGCTTTAAAAATTCTTTTATTGCAAGAGAAATATAATTTACTATTCTAGTTTTCTATCTGCCCAGCAAAGTAAAAAGAGTAAACAGGCAAAATATATTATTGATTTACTTTCTTGAAAAGGTTTTTTTTTTTTTTTGAGGGGGTCACATATTTACATCTTTCCTGCTACCAAGAAAAGATAGGGAGAGAGGGACTTTTTAGCTGTTACCCTTCACCTTGTTGAAACATAAAACTATAGCAGACAAGATTTTTGGAGTAATTTAAACCTTAGAAGTGAAGGAGTAGAAGAAAGTCTATGTAAAGACTATTTTCTGAATCTTATTCAATTAATCGGCTGGCAGATCACCTAATGTACAAAACCCTAGATCACTGTGCCAAAATAAGTCTCTAATGACACTGTTATCCCTTTGAGCTTTGGGTAGTTCCTTCTTCTGTGGCTATATACCTTTAGAGTAGTTGTGTTCAACATAGCTAATCAGTGAACTGTTTATGCCTATCCATTAGGAGAAGAGGAAACTGTACCAAACTCTAAGGAAAGTCTGGCAATGAAAACAAAAGTTTAGTTGAAATAAGCATCGTATTTGGTAACATAATTGGTTTATGTTCTCATACCATCTCCTTATTTCCATTGAGGAACAAACAGTTCAGGTGCACAGACCAAGCCTTTGAGTAGCAGTGCTTTAGAACAGCGGACAGCAAACTTCTGTGTAGGGCCAGATAGTAAATAATTGTGGACCATACGGTCACAATTATTCTCAACTCTTCCTTGTAGCTTGAAAGCAGCTGTAGATGTAATGTAAATAATAGCTTGTTTGTGTTCCAATAAAACTTTATTTACAAAACAAGAATGTTTGGCCCATGGATTGTGGTTTGCCTTTGCCTGCTTTAGAGTGCTTAGACTGACTTAATCTGACACTGAAAGCCAGTGATGCACTCTAGTGACTGTTTGCCTAGGAACTACCTATCAAGGTGCCTTAGTGTATAATAATTCCCTGTTACCTGACAATAAACTTAGGATTGATTTTAAGTGCAGTTCAGTGACACTAAGAAGCATTATATTCATTTTGTGGATATACTTTTAATTTACATTGAAAATCTGAATGCCATATTTATTTGTATTCTTTCTTTCCCTTTGTGTCTCTCCAATAGGGAGGAAATTGGAATTTTTTTCATCCATGAATTTTTTTAAGAACTATTCTAAACATTTTAAAAAGGAACTGATAATATACAAGTCACTTTGTTTTAGCTGTAAGTAAAAAGATGAGGAAACCAAATATCTAGGCAGTTATTGGCCTAAGGTTAAAAAGCTAAGATTTGAATGAAATTTGATCTTGATTCTGAAACAGAATCTGAAGCAGGCTTCAAGCTCTGAGGTGTCAGCGCAGAGCCTGGTTCAGGGCTCGAACTCCCGAACCATGAGGTCATGACCTGAGCCAAAGTTGGATGCTTAACCAACTGAGCCATTAAAGATATACTTTATATAATAATTATATAAATTTAACATCATTAAATTTTTGTAGGCTTCTGTGATGTCATTTTTTACTTCATGGTTGACATGATCATTTTTGTTCCATCAAAATCATTACTCCAAAACCACTCACTTGTTCTGACTTCAATGACATAGTACTTTTGTATGTATGTAGACACTACAGAAGAAGTGCAAATATTTCATTTTTACTAGATTACCTTAACAATAAGACTTGTTTTTTCAGTTAAGAAATGAAACATTTAACTTACCTATTTCTAAGTATTAAAAGAGAGAAAGTTATTTTTAAATTATTTTTTCAAATGAGACACGTGCAGATGCATGTAGACAAAAAAATAGTATTAGATTTTTAAAAGTTATGGCAATGTTTAATTTTTACCCCAAAAGCTATAAATTAAAAGATACTTGTAAGGAATTAAACACATCTTTAGCAACAAATGTAACTTTGTAGAGGAATGAGATATCCTGAGAAATCACTTTTACAGTTATGTAAATTGCATGTTAAAAATATTATAAAACCAGTTTCATTATTTAAATGAATATACTAAGCATAATTTAGTCTTCTTTGATGACACAGTGTATCACCATGAAGATTATTGAGCTAAACTGTAAATGAAGCCATAGCTATAGATGTTAATGGCCTGAATACCTGCTGATCACAGAAGTTACCTTGGATTTTGGTTTCTAGAAAATATCCCAGGTACATCTGGGGTCATTTGGCTTTTCCAAAAACAGAACAGAAAAATTGACTGTATCGCTCACCCAATCCAACCTCTTTTTAAAAATGACTAAAACCCTTTAAATCTTAAAGTATAACTTGCCATTTGTGGGGAATTTGGGAGAATTTAAACTATAATTTTAAATTTTTTAAATATTTCAAGTCTTCATCCACTGCCTTAAAAACATGACTTTAATTGTTCTGTATCAGGGGCTAGCAGACAGTGACCCACAGTTGGCCACCTGTTTTTATAAACAAAATTGTATTAGAAAATACCCATATCATTTGTTTATATATTGTCTGTTGTAGTTTTTGCACTGCAATAGCACAACTGTACCGGACAGAGACCATTTGGCTCACAGGCCCAAAGCTTAAATCTGGCACTTTAAGAAAACGTTTGCTAGCACCTGGTATATATTTTTATGTAAGTATATCATAATTTTATAATTATTTTATTGTCACTTTATAAACACTACAGGGAAGCTCTCACTTCATAAATTTTGGTCTTGTTATTACCTGTAGGAAGTCTAAGTGCAATACTAGATTGAAGAATATTTAGTTTTTAAGTAGCCAAATACCAATACTTAACTTTAATTATCTTCCTATGATGCTTGTGGAAAGCTTCTTGTTCCAGTATGAACTCCTAGAGTTAAGAGTTTACTTATCTAGATTTTATTTTGACTCTTCAAACAAATTTAGCTTTTTTAACCTAATGTGACTTTAATTTATGCTATTCACCAAGTATTTCCAATGTGTGGTAATGTGACTGTTACCTAGCCAGTGAGTTGTGAGTGAAAAGTTACTTCAATTTGGATCATTTAAGTGTTGATACGAGACTCTTTAGAACTTTCTTTTCTCTCTGACATGGTGATGATGATTGCTGCATCAGGCTGGGTTCCTGAGGGACTGTAAACCTAGCCTCCCTGTTTAGATGGACATATAGCGTGAGGGAGAAATAACCATTTTTGTTTTAGTTAATACAGTTAGGGAATACCTCATTTGATACAGGATTAGTCCTGAAAGTGGAGTGCTGCCATAAAAAGAAGCAAAATTGAACTAAATTAAACTATATTGCATTGGCTTAGGTGACAGGTGGTAAAGCTACGTGAGGCGATCCACATTTGCTGTGGTGAAACGTTTGGTAAACTTGCCTGCAATACTTGGAAAAAAAATAATATAGTGAAGTTTTATCTCTATTGGAAGAGTTTGGATAACAATTTTGTTTATTAGTTGCATTTGACAGTTGCATTTTAAGAAAGACATGAACCCAGATGAGAAATGGTAAGATATCCATTGGAAACAAAATAAGAAAAGTCCAGAAATTCAGGCACTTGAAAAGCTGGGAAAGACAGAACTTCTCATCCCCAATCAGTCAAACAAGAAAGCCTTTAAGTAACAAAGCTAAATTAATTCAAGAATATGGCCATCATACTAATTGTTTTAAATGTCTAATTTGGTTAAGGAGATCCCGCCTCCATAGTGTTTCTATGTAGGAATTCTTTCACAGCATTTCTTGGGAAATTTATGTATTTTTCTGAATCTCATGACCCATCATTCAGGAAATTAGTGAAACAGGAAGAAGAATTGCAACTAAGCAATAATTAAAGCTTAGTAATGAATTTAGAGCCATTATTGGACTGAAGGAATCCACTGAAGTCAAGCACAAAAGCAAGAATGGGGAATGCTGATATAGAGTCCAAGAATAAGTTCAACATTTCCAGGAATCAGAACAGGAGGACATGGAAGAGAAGTTGTCACAACCTGATCATTCAGTCTTACTTGTAGCTATTGCCATGTTATGAATGTATGTCTATGTTCCTGTCTGCTACTAACGGTGAGTCATTCTTATAAGTAAAATAAATATGAATAGGATTATATATATAGAGTATACTTTATGCAAATCCCATCACTGGTGTTCTAAGAAATAACACATGGAAGCAAATTAATTCCTTACGTTGTCAGTTTTGACCTGTGATTCTGTGTCCTGTCCCTTCATGGGACGTCCAAATGTAACATTCAAATACTACCAAATAAACTTGTCAGCATTTCTAAGTTTGTATGATTATTTGCCAAAGGCTGCTGTTCTTTGCAAATACTTTAACTAGAAATGCAAAGAAAAGAGGTAAATGTTTTGGCATATAATGAAATGAAGTTAGAAACTGATCTAACTCTAAATTAGAAAAAGCAGTATCAATTTCAACAGCAAGACCAAAATCAGGGAAAGCCGACAAAATATTTTCATCATTAAAAAGGAAAAGAACTTTTATAAATCGACATGTAACCAAATGCCAGCTTATAGATGTTTTTGGACAATTCTTAGCAATTCAACTAATAGAAATGTGAATATGAAAGATAAGTTTCTATGTCTGAAATGTTTGTAACAAAATAAAGATAAAAACTATCAGGTCAATTAATGCATTGTGTGCTTTTAAGTTTCATTTTAAGATAAACTTATAACAAGTATTTGTAGTACTTACAGTTTAAAATGATTTTAATTTGGCGTCTATGCTAATATTTCCTTCATTTAATGTTTTCTGTTGTCAAATGTCTATGTCAGGCAAAGAGAGTGGTATTGAAATATATAATATTGTCACAGTACATTGGTTCCTATTAAGAAAACACATATTTATGTCTTTTTAACAGAAAATGTCAAACATTTAGCAGAAAAATGATGCAGTATTTATTATGGTGATAACTATTTTAAAATATATTAATTGTAGTGTTATGAAAAATACAGAATGATGAATGCATATAATTTGGGGATTCCTGAGAATTCCCAGAAATGTTATTCTTTATTCCTATTTCCTAAATATTAATGTCTGTCAGGAATTGGAAATGCTAATGCCCAGTAAATCTGTTCAGGTAGACAAAATGGCTTAGGAAATGGGTGCTGAAGTGTCAGTCTTCTATCAATGCCTGATGGGCTCAAGGTACTCCAGTTAAGTGGGGACCATTTCTTTAAAATTGTGGGTGTGACTATTGGCTCATTGCTAACTGGAATCATATAAAAAGCAAAAATTTGGAGAGAGGTATACTGTCAAAGAAACCATGAATTTGGACTAAAAGTTTATAAATGTTCAAGTCTTAAAATGAACCCTTGGGTCCCCAACTTTTTTTTTTCTTTCCAAGTTTTTATTTAAATTCCAGGTAGTTAAAATACAGTGTAATATTAGTTTCAGGTGTAGAATCTAGTGACTCAGCACTTCCATACAGCACCTGGTGCTCATCACAACAAGTGCCACCCCTAATCCCATCACCTGTTTACCCTGTCTCCCCACCCACCCGCCCTCTGGTAACCATCAGTGTGTTTGTTTTCTGTAATTAAGAGTCTGTTTCTAGGTTTGTCTCTTTCTTCTTTCCCCCTATGTTCATTTGTTTTGTTTCTTAAATTCCACATATGAGTGAAATCATATGGTATTTGTCCTTCCCTGGCTGACTTAATTACACTTAGCATAATACTCTCTGGCTCCATCCATGTCATTGCAAATAGCAAGATTTCATTCTTTTTTATGCCTGAGTAATATTCCATTGTATATATATACCACATCTTTGTCCGTTCATCAGTCGATGGACATTTGGGCTCTTTCCATAGTTTGGCTATTGTTGATAATGCTGCTATGAAGATTGGAGTGAATATATTCCTT